ACAGACGAAAGAGTCGTCAGGAGAACCAACATGCACAGAGAGTAATCCATGGCTTTTTTTTTTTTTTGCGTGTGCGTCTTTGTTCAACCCAAGATGAGAGGGAAAGACGCGCAAAAGAGCTGATCACCAAATCCAAAGCAGCGTCCTCCTCATCCAAACGCCTCACAACGCCATCGGTGCGCGTTTGGAAACAAATCTAATCTGGTCGCTATCTGACTCCCCCTCCTCCTCTTTCTCCTCCCACCGGTGGAGTTGAGGGATTTGCTTTTTTAGGTTCAGACGTGAGATAGCCTACTGTTAAGTGTCTAACACTTGCTGTGGAAGGGTATTAGAGAGCGGTTCAACATGCTTGTGTCAAAGAATAAAAAGAGAGAGAGGGGGAAAAAAAAAAAAAAAAGGGGGAGGGCGCAACAGAGATCGGTGCCCAGTCGCACACTGCAAAAAATACCCCAGTCTGGGATGTCAGACACGGCGAAAGGGCATGTGTGCCGTTTATCACCAGTTTAGTGGGAAGTTAACATGCATGCATATGCTTATTGTAACAGTTTGCGTGCGTGTGTGTGAGATGAATTTGGAGCAAACGTAAAAAAAAAACAAAAAAAAAAAAAAAAACTATGCGGGACTCCTGGGTCTCAGTGTTGCCAGATGGGGACCACATGGCAGAATTGATTGGTGTCTGCGCGTTTTGGCAAAGTGAAAACGAATTTATCATTTTTGTTTCTACTTGTAAACACTGAAAGGAAAATTAAACTAATCTAAATCTCAGCTAAGTCCAAAATTACTCGTATCACTAGGCATGTTAAAAAAAAAATAAATGGGGTAAAAAGTGTTTCGATCAAGTTCTTAATATTGCGGAACAACTTTTTCCATGTTTCCACTGGCATTTTGACAATTTATCTTCTGAGCTCTTAGCCTTTGATGTTGGAAGGGCTCCTTGCCATCACCATAATCTTAAATTCTTTACACAGATTACTATAATCCTCATGTAAGTAGTTACATTTAGTTACCCCTGTCCACTATAGAGTCTACCTTATATTAAAATGTTAGATCAAACTTTGTATAGGTTTTACTTGACCCTCGTTTCTTTGCATCCTTGATAGCAAGACTACATTGCAAGGTGGGCATTGCAGGCGAGGGCAGCTTTGCTGGTCACATGACTTTCTGGCCTCGACCCATAAAGCAGTCATTTGTCATTCAGTCGAGCGTCTCAAGAAAGTCTCACAATTGTCACACTGTTTTGCTATGTGTGTCACTACAAGCCTTCATTTAATTTTTCAGAGTGCAGGGCCTTTGTTTATGCTGAAATGTGATAAATTCCACTTGCTTCAAGGGTTGTGGCAAACTTAATATGAAGTGACATTTCCCTTTCCTGGGAAATACACCGAGGTGAATACTAAAATGCTGTCTCTCTACAAACACTTGTTATAAACCAATTTCCTCTATTATTCCATGATCCGCAAAGTTATTTTCTGTGTAAATATCTCTCGTTTATCTATACTTGCATGTGTATGCAAGTAAATGTGTTGGCGGTGCATTTTAATGAGAGTCACAACAGGCAAATGGAGCAAAATGCTCCTCACCCGCTGTTATTTGAATCACATAAATAGATTTACTGTGCAAATAGCAGCTCATGCTGCCCCTCTCAGGTTTCACTGTAACTGACAAAAGCTGATCCTTTGGGATCTCTTGCTAGGCAGGAAGGGGAGGGGATTAAGGGAGGAGGAAAGCATTTAAAGAGCAACAGCAGAGGGGAAGGAAGTTAAAAATACTTAAGTGTGCAAAAAATAAAAAATTACTTACATTTGTCAAAAGAATAATCTTTTGATTCAAGCATTAACCAATAAATAAGTCATGATTGTTTACATTTTCCAGAAGAAATTAAATGGAAAAAAAAAATGCAACATGTTGCCAGGATTTTATTGAACAGACGCACCCCATCAGGATAAAAACCCAGCTTGAATATTGTACCTAATGATGTTTGAGACAAAAAAAAAGTCTTATAAGAAACTATTCCAGATAATTGATCCTGAAGCGGAATCTGCAAACTACTGGATTTTGGGAATTGTTGCATTTTCCTTAAAAAAATTAAAAAAAAGTTTCCTTTTATTTTATTTTCCAATCATAACCTTAACATATTTTGGTTCATAATGACTGGACAACAGCAAGTAGTGAAAAATATTCAGTGGACATTTCTAGAGGTTTCGTGAATGTCAGCAGCATGGCCCACTATACTCTTAGTTTAACCTGTTGACCAGCAAAGTCCAGTTGGCCGCGGGTTATGTTCCCAGAATAAAGAAGCTGCAGAGGAAGTAAAGTCAACGTGTGTTTGTGTGCAATGACATGTGACACTGCTGTCTGCTTTCTTGGAGCATTAGGAACATCGGTGAAGTGTGGGGTGAGGAGAGGGAAAGGTTGTGGCCTTCTGTCCTCAACCACTGATCGCGTCCACATGCGAAGGGAATTGTGGCCGTTCAGAAACGCCATCGTCTCTGCACTAAACTCTTTCCAGGGGCTAAGCACACATTACATGCATGTCGTTTTGCTGGTGCAAGAAGGAACATTGGTTGGTGATAAAAATCAACCAGTTTGGAAGAAAGTACAAATTTCAATAAAATTCTCCATGCAAAACACAAAGAATTTATTCCGTAACTAGATTAATTGTTGATTTTTTTTTTAGCAAAAGAAGTCAAGCTAAAATGTACAATACAAGGAATATTTTTTTGTCCAATGGCTTCATTTTTGACCTTTGACTTTTTGTTGCTCTTCTAGTCACAACCATAACACTCTGAAAACGGTTGTTGAAATACAAAGAGCTGTTCAAGCTGCAAGACGTGATTTAGCATGATTAAGCTGATCTGTCAGCTCCATCCTCCTTTCGGGAAACTTGAAATGTTACCATTTCATTCCATCGAATTCTCTGCAATACCAGAAAATTGGTATTTCCATCTTGCTGATCCTTCTAAAAAAAAAAAAAAAAAAAAAAAAAAAGGGGGCATTCTACAGGATCTTGAATTCAATTTTACCGAATACATCACATGTACTAACTGCACAACCAATCTTCTCCACCCTTGGCTTCCCCCACAGGCTGTTGAGCTTAATTGATTCATTACATTCTACTGGGCCACCGTGTTACCATGGCAACAAATGACTTCCAAGTTTAAACTTTAATCACCATCACCCCCGCACAGTGTCTTCTTGGCAAGATGATAGGACATGTGTTCCATCGCTACGCGAGTTGACATGGATGGATATCTTCCTCAATAGATGTTCTAAAAGTGAAGGAGGAAAGTTGGAACCTGAAAGAAGAGCATAACGATTTGTACGGCCATGCTTTAGTTCTTTTTAAACCAAGCCTTCAACAGAAGGCACCATCTGTCAACCTTATGAAGTCGTATCATTAGGTGAGGTCAGTTGGAAGGCATCAGGAAGTTGGCTGTACTTCAAAGATGAGAAAGATTGACATTTTAGATATATAGAGCTTTCTTTAAAGTAAATGAAAGGCTAATTTAAATGACAAAACTTTTTTTTTTCTTTTTCTCCAGAATGACTGCAAATATATTTGTTTACATTTGTTTCTTCATTAATATCGCGTCTGCTTCAAATGACAAGCTATGAACAGATCTAAAATGCGCTGCATGTGCTCCAAGTTTCTTCTTGGCCATAGTTGCGACGGTTACACCTTGTTGCCTCAGAACAAATTGAAATGATGGCGGGCATGTATGACATGTCTCACTTGGGACAGGGCAGTCTCTGTACGTACACTCTGTACACTGACTGATCACATTACTATTAGTGAAAGCCTTTCTGTCAGGAGGATAGGTTAAGGCCCAGAGAAGAAGCGGCACGGGGTGAAACAGGCACCAAGTGATGGGAGCTGCCCTCAGGGGGGGGGGGATCTGAAGAGATTTGATGTTATAGGCCGTAGCTGTACTGCATCCTTTCAAGCTCTGGTCTGCGAGGCTGAGGGTTCTGTGCAGCCTTAGCTGTTCTTTGGGTTGCAGACTGCAGACTTTAAAATCCTGTTACTCTTCCAATTTTGGGGGTGACGGCCCTTGAACTAGAGGGAGACTATAAACACTTTGAAGTAGAGAACGTGATTTTAACTTTCCACAATAGTGGACTTTTTATTTCTTATGCGACTGATCCTATCAGTAGGTATAACAATGTTCAGTAAACTATTCCAGCTGCTCATTTTGCTTTTCTTTCACGATTTATTTGACATCAACATTGGCACATTTAAAACCACACCTCCAGAGCCCCAATATTTGACTTCTCATTCATTACCTGTTCTGGTGTTACTAAATCAGGTCAGCCCATTTCAGTTGATGGTTTTATAACCACAGCCAACTGGTGTCAAGTGTGCAGAAAGTAATCCCTTCATTATGGTTCTTCCTCAAGATTCTGTTGCCTGGGATATTCATTGAGGTTGCCACTCAAAATGTCCGCTCTTGAACTACAGGAGAACTTGTTCCATTCACAGTAAAAAGTTGTAGAAGTGACTGTCATGATGCCAATTGATTATCAAGATGTCCATCAAAGACCAGTGGAGACTAGACACTCGCCATTATAAGAATATGGTCACTTTGCTTATCTCTTTAAAGGAATTAAAATTAAATACTTTAAAAATATGCAATTTAGTATTAATTCTCTGTAAACATATTAAATGTTTTGGCATGTTTTACTTCAAATATCTCTTGTTTTCATACAAATAATCAATAAAAGGTGAATATGTAAGTATATTCAGAACTCAGACCTAATACTTTGTAGGACAGTGTTTTGAGGAAGTTACAGCTCCAAGTCTTTCAGGTGCATGTTCCTACCATCTTTGCACACTTTTGACTTAATTTGGTCATTTTGCTAGCCCTTTAGCACGTTTTGATCTAGATTACTCAATTGCCTTGACTCCACCTGTCAATGATTCTGGGGGGGTTGGAATAAATACTTTTAAAACTCATTCTTTGGGGTTTGTCAGCAACTGACCAATCGGTCGTAGTACATACCTCTTAACTGGAGAAACTGAACCTCCATCAACATTGTCAGGATTCATCATCGCCAACACGCTTCGGTCATATGGAGATTTCAAGGAAAATAATAGGAAATCATGGTCAAACGTTGCCTGTGGGGAACATGCAATCCCAACAGCCATTACCCAGAGTGTTTAGAGAGCGGAACACAATTTATTGCATTTCTAAAATCCAAAAAGAGTCTTTACTAATGCACAAAATGGGTCAAGGCCTGCAGGTGACCTCATGTCTGTGAAATGCAACCGTGATGGGCAGAAAATATCATGCGTTTGTCTCCACAAAGTAACTGATACTAATCATCCCATTTTTTTGTCATGAAACTTAGCGATATTCAAATCAAAGATCAATAAGTGAAGGTAGTAATGCATGATTTTGTGTGAAAATTCCAATCATAGCTCTACATCAGCATGAAACCATGTGTTGCAGTAACTGTGACATTTACATTTAAGCACCTTTTTAAGTAATGTTTATTTTTAAGCATTTTTCTGAAGCAAATTTTCACAAGCAAGTATCAAGTTTTTACTCACCCGTTTTGTATGCAAAATGTGTCCGACACAAACTTCCACGCTCGCCTCCAATGAGAATTGTTGCTTTCATTCTTCTTCTGGTTGCGAAAGACTTGGGCTTTAGCACTGCTTTCTCAGTTGTTTCCCGCAAATAGCCTTACAGGCCTGATATGACAGAGTTTTCTTCCCTGTCGTTTTTACGTTAGTGTTGACTAAGGCAAAAATAGCTAAAAAAAAACAAACAAACAAAAAAAAAACAAATGTCTTTAGTAATGCATTGAGTCCACTACCTGAAATGAACTATGTAACAGTGTAACAGTTCATTTGTCGGAGGTGCTCCACTTCCGCATATGGCAGAGCCGGCGACATATCTTCTTTTTTATGGCGGTTGGGAAGCAACGCTCAGATGCGCATTACCGCCATCTGCTGGAATGGAGTGTGGATTGGGAAGCTAAACATATCGGCGTCATGGGATTATAACTTCGTTTATGTAGATCTGCTGTTTTGCAGAAGGATGAACATCATGACAACACCTAATCACTAAATGCTTCTTTAAAAAAATAAAATAAAAGCATTTGAAACATCCACAGATCAGCTGGATTAAATCAGACACAAGTAAACCAGATAAGTTAATTTCTGAAAGTAATTTGTTGTGCTGGATTTTATTTATAGTTAAGTATACCACATTTTTCTGAAATTGTAAAATAAAAGTTCAATATTTTGAGCATATATGATGACAACAATTTGGCCTATCTCACGAGAGTCACTTTAAGCTAAAGTTAAGGCACACTATGTCATCTTCAATTTGGATATCGTTACAAATCAATACAAACTTGAAATTTTGTCCTGGCATTAACATTTAACTTCAGTTATTCCCATGTTTTACAAAAAAATTTAAAAAATTAAAAAAATAAGGCCAGTGTGTTGGCATCTTTCATTTGGCCTGGACCAAATGTACAAATTAACATCTATCCTGTAAACTGTGGCACATAGGAAATAAATGTGTCAAAGTAAGCTCTCTCAAAAAAAGAAAAAAAAAAGACGAAACAAACCTTCTCTTTGGGCGCTGCAAAGAGATCTAACCTCCGTTCAACCGCAGATGAGATGATGCAGCCGGCGACATTGTCTGATGTGGCCCCTCCAGATTTCTGTCGTTTTGATCATCCTCGTCTCTCAGTGAGTTGCTGAAGCAGAATGACAGCCAGACATTTTAATGCCTCTGCCTGACGCAAACTACATCTTTGAAGGCAGAAGGAGAGCACATACACATCTTTACAACTTAAGAATCTCAGAGACCTTTCAAAACAAAAAGGGAGGACACAGATGAGGAATTTCGGAGAGCAAGATACTGTGATGACAAATATGAAGGACAACAGGGAGGGCGGAGAAAAGAGAATCAATCTAACAGAGAGGGACACTCAGGCTTTGATAAAGTCCTCACCTGTGACAAAAAGACACATTCAAGAAGTTAATCCAAAACACATGAAAGCAGTTACAGACTGGATAATTTGACCATAAATGTACTTGCACAGATTCTAACAGCTATAAAATCTTAGAAAAAGAAAAAGTTACTCCTCTTGCTGTCTTGATATGGACTGTCACTGTAACCAAGTAGATTTTTTTTTTTTTATATGATCAAGCTTACTCCATTTCCCCCATCTTGTTTCAAATGCATTCTTCTTAATCGGTGGTATAAAGACTTACGTTCTCTAAGGATCACATAAATGCTTACTTCCATAAAGTATAGAAAAGCCTTGAGAGTATAGAGAGCCTATGGTTTTCAATCTATGGTGACTGGGGTGTTGCTCCATGGAAATGGTGGTGCTCTTGTCATAACGACACACAAATAATATACGAAGTTGCGCACAAAATGAATCAGACAACCAAAATGAGATGCTAGCTTCAAACAGAAGCTGCACAGACCATCAGAAATTCTAATATTCTTGAAAGGAAAAGTTAAGGAAATGTCCAATTTTGACACTTAAAATTCTAATCTCACATTTTTAGAATTAAGTTTATATTCCAGTACCAATTTCTATAATAAACTGCAACCACAGATTATTTTTATTTTTTATACATATACAATAACAAAAATCCTTTCCACAGTAATGTGTGGAAAGAAATTGTTGAGAGGTATCCAAGGAGAGCTTGGATACTTATGCTTATGATGCTGAATATTTTTTTAATATATCCCTGTTCCAACGCAACTGAATCAAATTAATCAGTTGCGGTGATTTATATGAATTACACAAAAGAAAAATGAACAGCTTAAGCTTTTCATTTGTGCTCAATTAATATATTGAGACATTTTGCTGTAAAACCTGCAAAAGATTTCAAAGAACTAGGGGCGGTGGGGGTGGGCAACTAAAATATAAAAAAAAAAAAAAGATCCATTCATACTTCCCAATGATATTTCAATAAGCCCATAACTATACACGTACCTGATGCTGAAACAACATCTGAAGCTTGAATAAGTGATGCTACAGCAGGAGCTGGTAACAAACCCCATCTGTTGACGCCCACGCGTTCCTGAGCAGAAGACTGATCAGCCGCAATCAGCCGAACACCTGCGCTTCTTCAGGGCGCCTGGGAGGAACTTCTCAACGATAAAAAAGCAGCACGATGCCACCTTCCGGAAGCATGTTGTTACTACATCAAAACTGTACCGTAATGTGATGATATTTTCAATACACTTGTTACGCAGTGCACATAGAAGTGAAAGCGTATGTGTCCCAATTCAAGGACAATAGTCCTTTTACATTAAAAAAAAAAAAATACAGAGAAATTGAAAATATCTTAGGTGGGGAGCTAGAGAAACTTATCTCAAACAGGTCAAGATTAATAAATGGCAATAAAAAGCACCTCACTGATGTTATTTGAACAAATTGCATCAGTGCACTTTGGACAACTATGAGGCAAAAAAAAAAAAGAAAAAAAAAAGAACAGACACAAACCAACAAACAAAAATCGGGTTATAAATGAATGCACAATAGAAAATAATTTTTGTACTGATATTTAATATTTAGACATGGGGCAATAGCCATTTTTACAGCACATTTTGCATAATTTATCAATACCTCCTGTATACAATCACAAAACCATCACAGTAGATTTATTTAGTTTTTTTTTTTTTGTCTGTTTACTTACAAGTGAAAAACCAGAGGTTTTACAAGCAAAATCTTTGTACAGTCAGCATACATCGTCATTAATTCAAGCTTTTCTTCATTATTCTCTCCCCCCTCCCCACCCCACCCCAAACCCCTCTATGACATTTTTGCTTTATATCTTTCTATACCTTCTTTCTCATTTAAGTTTTTCTGTAATAATATCTGGACACAAAAATAGTATGAACCACCAACAGAACATGCAACATCCAGTGAGCACATTTAAATTCTCCTGCGGCTAACTCGAGTTGTCACAACAAGACTTGTGTGTTAAGACTGTGTTAACCTTGTGGTGTTCTGTGTAAAGGGTTTGGTTAATCTGGGTCCCTATATGCAGACAAAACATCTTTTTTTTTCTTTTTCTTTTTTCTTTTACAGCCTATCCACTGCACGCTGTTTAAGAGAAAATACATTTCCCTTTATTATGCCCACTAAGACATCCTGTACTCCCCGATCCCCCGTCATAGATATATTTATATGTATGTATAAAAAAACTAAACTATATATTTACAAATGCTAAAAACAGGGAGATGGCATCTTTGTTTGACTCTGTGTGTGAACATGTGGAATCGGTTGTGAGTTATAGCAGTGTGTTTGAGTGGAAACGCAGAAAAGAAAAGACATGGATGAGGATGAGACCACATGGTTCGCTGCACACAGGCACATAAATATCAACAAAAAAAAAAAAAATACAGAAACTTACACAGAGACCTTAAAACAACTATCATTTCATGTATAATGTCCATTAATTACAATCTTTTACAGTCTTTTCTTTTGCTAATTTTTGATATGCTGACTGTAAATGAAACTAACTAAAAGGTAGGTACAGACATTAGGCAAGTTCTTTAGGCAAGTTCTTTTTTTTTTTACATGTCGATTTTAATTTTTTTTTTTTTTTTCCTTTAGCTTCGAGGAATTTCTTGATGTAACATAATATATCTCTGAGTTTCAGGTCCTCCTGACGTTGTAAACAAGCTCTACATTGTGTAAAAAAATTGTTTTCTGTACACTTGATATGTACCGTAAGCAAACGCAACGCAACTCAACATGACACACCGTCTTGCAGGCAATAAATAGGTAAACATCTGTACAGCATTACAAAAATCACAAGTTCAAAAGAAAATGGAACCAAATTAAAGCGAGTAACCAGTTGTGGAGGATGCAGCAGTGCAAATTAGGAAATCAGTGACTTACTTCTGGCGAGTTAAGATGCAGTTCCTTCCCTTGTTTTTTTTTTTGTTTTTGTTGTTTTTTTGTTTTTTACAGTGGATGTTGCATAGAAATCACTCAGGTGTTAGTTTTACTACTTGTTTTAGCTTATGATATTGGATGAACCAGTAGCTCTACCTCTTAACCTCCACTTCTCAAACATAGAGGACATTATAAATAATATTTTTGCTTTTAACTAAAAAAACAGAAAGAAAGAAAGAAAGAAAGAAAGAAAGAAAGATAGACAAACAGCACAGCGTTATAGCAGTGAAGATGGCAGTAGTGCATTTATATGTATTATTGTATCCCACATCTGTTGTTGTCGTCTCATCTTACCACTTCTTTGATTTTGTCACAGTAAAGAAAATTTAGCAGGATGCCTTTTTTTTTTTTTTTTTTTACATTCTAAGCAGGGGGAAAAAAGTGCAAAATACCACAGTAAGCGTGTGTTGTTAAGAGTGCCGCCCATACAAACTGAAGCAAGACTGATGACAGTGACGCAGAAACAGCGTCTGCTGCTCCACAGAATTCTCCTGTTCTTGTTTCTTTGTTACTCTTGGATGTTTCGGATGATGAAACATGTTTAAATATTGCATGAAGGTAAAATGATTATATACAAATTGCAATTTTCAAATGCTGATTTCATTTACTGATTACTGTCATACTTGTAGATTCGCAAAGTGCTTTAAGCCGAACCGGTCCAGCAACATGAAACAGGCCAAAAGATCATAATGGGGGGGGGCACAAACTTAAGTCACAATGTAATGAAATTCAATAACAGATGAAAAAAAAAATCACTTGCGTTTATTTATTTGGAAAGGGTTACAAAGCCATTTGTAACCCCAATTGCACCCCAGTGAGAGCCATTATCCACAACTGGAGGAAAACAGGGGTGAACTTTTCTAATGGCCATTCTAAATTTATTCCAATGACTTATCCAAGACAGCATCTTACAGCACTGCAGGCCTCGTGTGTTCATGATCCAACAATAATAAAATGGCAAAAATGGTATTCATGGAAGAATTCAGAGACCAAAAACCCACTGGTGACCAACAATACTATGGAGGCCCTGCTAACATTTTCCAAAAAACCCCCCAAAACATTCTTAATGGTCTCCAAGACTGTTAGAAAAATTATTCTGTAAAGTGACAAGACTAAACTGAAACTGGGTGTAAAATGACAGCATTTAAGAAAGAGAGTGTCATACTGCTTTTCATATATACTGATGGTAGGGTCAATGTCTGGGGCTGCTTTGTTTGACTTGTTTTTGGTTTAACCTATAATTCTGCTCCGTACTAAAAAACCTTGATAGAACTTGTCTTAACAGTTTCATTTTCATGCAGCGGCAGGTTGGTTATGAAACCATTTTTCCCTCAAAAAAATGAAATCATCATTTGTGAATTTAAAAAAAATAATAATAATAATTTTTATTTCATGACGTTATATTTGTCTGATTTCAAAACAGCTCGAAGTCTCGGAACGTTCAAGTCTGACAAAAACAGAAGAATGGTGTGAACAACAAATCCTCTTTCGCAGCCACTTGGATCTCACAAAGCAAAACAGGAAGTCTACGGTCGACGTCTGACGTTCTACGGGGGCATCGCGGATAAATAAAACCTCTATGTCACAATCGTCAAGACATGATTGTCTGTGATAAAGATATCTATTTATTGAAATATTTTCATCTCCAACTATGACACTTCACTATTTACAGAGTGAGTCTTAAAGGTGTTGCTTTTGTTTTCTTCTTCTTTTTTTAGTGGCAAAGCATGTGGTGCTGCATGCCAAATAGACTCATGCGCACAATATACTGTATAGTATCCAATCTGGTATATATTTATATTAATTCTTTACCAAACAAATTCAGCTAGACAACAAAGGAGAAAAAGTACAGTTGTTCATTAAACCTAAAAAAAAAAAAAATCTAAGACATGCTTGGTTTTCTTCTTCCTTGATCTGGAATGCTAGGTAGGTAGTGTGTTTTGGAAAATATGCCTCCGTCCAAGCATGGAATTTTTTTTTAAAACATCTGATAAATAACTGAGAGAAAGAATAGAATTTTACGCTAATATAATAAAAAAATAAATAGCATTTTTCTGTGGCAGAACCTTCTATGTCTCATTTCTAAAAGGCTTTGAAATTCAATACAATTCTGGAAAAAAAACAAAAAAACAAATAAGTGCTGATGAAAAGACTCATCACTGAATAAAGCATCTGAATAAATTCAAATCTATAAGTGTGTCGATTCCCTGGTTTCCCCCTGTATCTTTAGAGCTAATGGTCCTCTGCTGGGTGGAAATGACTTTGTGCAAAGCAATTGTGTGTGTGCGTGTGTGTGTTTGTGGATTAGTATGTGTAATACCTGGTTGATCTCGACCTCTGCTGAGCCACATCACCTGCCGTTTCTCGTCTCTTCCCTTTGGAAAAACGACGGTGTGTCCCGCGCCCCCTGTAAACGTGTTCGTTTTCATGTAAACGTGAATCCAAGGTCCCTGTGCCGAGAGCGTCATCCGAAACAAGCCCCAAACCGAGGTGGAGTGATTTGGTCTCCTTTTGTTCCATTCATCCAAACGGGACCAGTCTCGTAGATGCTCAGCTAAGTTCCCTTTGATTTCACAACAAACCCATCATTTTTTCTTTTTTTTTTTTTTTTGCTTTAAAGTCTTCGGTGGCTCCCTACGAGTGGATCTGGGCCGTGCTAGCGAGAAGCTTGTGCCAGCCCACAACTCGTTTGCGCAAGTCCATTTTGTCCAGCCACACGTAAGCCTCTCCGATGAGCGTCTTCTTTATGAACTTGCCTCCATTGGACACAAGGAAGAGCTTGTGAAAGAAGAAGGACATTAATACGTCTCACTTTTTTGAAGAAACACATGTGCTTCACTAGCTCTGCAAGAGTTTATTTTTAGACTCTTGTAATGTCCTTTCTCCATTTCCCCATTTTTCCACATAAAAACCTGGAACTTCAGTGTATTTGATTCTTTTTTGTGTGTGTGTGTGTGTGTGACAGACCATCAAAGAAGTAGCAAATTTCTGTGAATTGGAGGAGAAAGGACAAGAAGTCCAGGCTGCGGTTTGTAAAAAGCTGCGAAACGGACACAACTTCACATGCAGTTTGCTTTCACAATGATTAACTATTCAGTATTCAGAACAAACAAAGTCCTGGATACTCTTGCAAGGCATATTACTCACAAAAAATCTGAACATTTATCAGCAGATTGTCAATATTCTTAAATCAGAGACTCGATTGGTGTTGGTTCATGTAAGCATCCAAGTGAGCTACCTGCAGCGAGTGTCCCGTCGGGTTCATGCAGAAGCGGAAAGTTTCGTTGAAGGACGGCTCGCGGTCATGACGACACACCCTGGTCTTCTTCTTGATTATCCTTTTCTGGGTGGCGATGTTCACCACGTAGAGCTTCACATAAAGGTCTGCAGAGACCGACAAGACAGACATCGTCGTGAAAACCACAACTCCAACGGTCTCGCTCTCCTCAAAAGGCTCAAAGGACTAACTTAATTGGCAACAGATATCTCTACGCTTAGCTGTCGCCGCAATAAGGAGGTGATGGTGTGAGTCACCAAGCGACTGCTTGTACCAGTTCACCTATGCTCTTAAAGGAAGGAGGGCTGCCAATCTGCAGATCCCATCTGGAAGCAAATGCAAATTGAAGAAACGACAACCAGCTTGAGCGTCAGAACCCACGGCCAATATGGCAAAATTAAGCCACTGCGAGCGACAATCTGTGCAAAGAAGCCGAGAAAAATCAAAACGTGCCATCTAGAAGCGTTTTGTCCTCTGTTTGTAAATGTCAGACTGTCACTATAGCGTCGCATGTAACATTTACTATGCGTAATAATAAAAATAAACTGTATTGTGTTTAAAACATATAAAACATCTTTTTAAAAATTTTTACTGTATTGCTTTCAGTGTGTTCCAAGTCTCTTTAATATATAATTTTAACGTATTTAGATGAATTTTGAGTGATGTCAGAGGTGATAATGAGGCAGAAATACACATTCCACATCTAATATGTGCTTTTCTTATAAGAGGATGATGTGTGAAGCCTGTAGGGGAGCCAATTTGTTTCGTGGTTGGTTTTATGCGAGCAATTATCTAAAGTAAAGGCACACTAAACATGACTGTAGGCTGACAGGAATATCGCAACAACAGCTGCTGTGCCTCAGTAAAATAGGAAAAGGATTTAAGAGGCCAAGCAGATGTTTGCGTGGGTTTTCTGACTGTCAGGTACGCTTGAAGACCTACACGGCCGCGAGACGCTGCTCAGACGGTTTCGATTACCAGGCAAGTGGTCCGGAGTCTTAAACTTGTAGGTGATGTTGCGACACTGAAGAATCTCCAGGACCAGATGCTCCCCCTCTGTCCTCATCTCTCTCTTCAGAGCGATCTTGATCTCCCCCATCACCTGAGTCTTTCCTGAAAACATACAAAAAAAGTGATGGTGCACAAAGTGGGGGTTCTTGGCTGACACACGACGCAGCCTGATGTTTTCTCTGCGTTCCTCTGCCGCCCTCTTGTGGAATTAAATATTAATAGCGGTAAGTGTGTACAGAAAAAAAAACATCTTTGTGTCACACAGGCAAATAGCAAATGTTGTCTGCCTACTTTGTCTCCTTAATAACTGAACTAATTTACATGGAATATGATTTTTTTTTTAAAAAACAACACTTGTTTTTTTACTTTAATAAATGAAATTATCATTTGAAAACTGTCTTTTGTATTTTACTCAGGTTATCTTTATCCAGTACAAACATTTTTTTTTTTGATCTGAAACATTTGTGTGCGCCTAAAAGCAAAACTAAAAATACATTTATAAGGAAAACACTTTTTGACAGCAATGCAAGTTTTAGTGTAATAAACTAGATTAGCCTCTAAGCAGCAGGTAAGTGTGACCAAAGAGCCCATATTTGCTAATGAGATGTTATGTAAATGAGCATGTGTCCTCTGTGAAAAACAAAACGTAGACGGTTAAGAAGGATCGCAAATTTGCCATCGCTTTCTTTAAAAAGGTCAACGAAAAGAAGATTTCAGTTAACTGCTATTGTAGAAACTGCGAGATGCAGTGCGTTGTATTTAGTACATTTGCTGCTAATAAAGCAACACATAGCCTTGTACAACCTTCACCATCACCGTGTCCCATTGAAGATTTCGTCACATCTGTGCCATTCGGGATCTTCCCACTGAAAACCAGAAAAGAAGAAAAGAAAAGCAAATGATTCATTTGTGCATTTATGTTTATTAATGGTTTGAAAAGCAGCCTGCTATAATCAAAACCTCAAACAAGACAGTTGCGCATTTCAATCAGACAAAGGTCAAGGTTTCGACTTGGCCTTTTCTTTCCACCCTAGGCATTCTCGTGTAGAAATGAATGTGTGTTTATTGTTGCCTCTTGATTTGTGACCTACTTTCAGTAGAGATCAAGATTAATGACAAAGGTCCCGACATTTGACGTGCGTCTTTCTGAATTCATTGACTACATGTCGCAAAGCCATCATTTCCCAGGCAATTTTAAACGAGGCCAAAACTGTGGCGACAGAAACTTCACCTTTAGAACAAACTGGATTTAAAATGGTTCGTGTTGCTTTTTAAAACTCCAGATGTCGGTATTAGTTTGTCTAGTAGTGTTTTAGTTTGTTGATATTGACATTTTTGTGACATGCATTTACATTTAAAACAGAAGAGTTACTAAAAGTCAAGCTCAAATAATTGAATATATGCACAGTTATAATCATAAATCTCTACCATTAGTTACTTATTTTGATTGAGTCTGAGAAAGTAAAATTAGTTGGTTCAATAGTGAAGAGGTCAACTTAGTTAGTTAACATCTTGGCGTACTTTGATACCACTAATCGTTTGATGCCCAGTAGGAGCCCATTTTAGTTGAAATGTATAAAGAGACTGAGCCTACTTACAATCGAGGGACCTGGAAGATTGCACTGTCCACTTCATTCGTCTCTCCTTCTTCATCCAAAAGGCTATAAGCACTACCGCTCAGGCCACTGTCCAACGAGGCCGCAGTAACTGGAGCGTCGCTTGATCTGTAGCTCGACCGAGCTGCGCATAGACACAAGCACAGCCGTCACCACAGAAAGAAAGAAAGACAAACACCGCATCTTGGCTCTGTCCAAGATGTCAGAGCCAAGAAGCATCGATTGACGTCTGCGGCACTGCAAAATCTGTCAAAATGAACAACAATCTGTTACGCTGCGGACAAAAAGGAAGTGCGTTTAAGGAATACGAGAGCAGACGGTAGGGAACTGCACGCAAACGTTCAGGAGGAGCAGGAAGCATGTGGACACACATTTATTTAAAGTCTCTCTCAGCAAAAAACACAAAACAGCGATAGCTTAAACAGAAGAAAAAACAACAACAACACACCACATATAAGATAATGCAGACCACACAAGAGGCACAAAGGTACTACTTTCATTGTTAATCGTCTGTATGAAATCCTGAATGTGTGCAGAACCTGACCATGGGAGATATTACTGGCGTACAGCGCAGTGGGAAACAATTCCTTCTCCCCCTTTATAGATTTTTCTGTTCTTCATTTTCTGTCTCAAAATGAATCCAGATTATCAAACAAACTCAAACATAAAACAAAGATATCCAGAGTAAACACAAGAAGCAATTATGATTTAACTTATTAAGAGTTAAAAAGCTGTCCAATTCAACCTAGCTGCATGTATAAAAGTAATACCAGGCCTGTTAAGGCACAAGTTTACGTTTTTTTTTGGTTTGATTTAATTAGACACAACCAGATCTGAGTACTACAATGACCCAGAGGTGGTGGTAGTTTTGTGGCCTGGGGCTGCTTTGCTGTTTTAGGAACCATACGGCTTGCTGTAAATGACGGAACCATGAAAAAAAAAAAAAAAAAAAAAATCCTGATGGAGAATATCGAGCCATCAGTTTGTACTTAGTACAGCCAGTTATTAGATTAAGGTGCAGATACTTTTCACATACGGTCAGCTTACATTAGATGTTTCCTTTCTTTTTCCTTCTCAAGAAGTGAAATGATCGTTTCAAAACAGTTTTTTGTTTTTTTGCGTTTACTTAAAATATCTGTGCGAAAAACCAAAAGTGAAAAAAAATCTATGGGGGTGGGGGAATACTTTTGTTACTTTTGGACATGACGTGGCATGGTTTACAGTGCTTTTAAAAGCACCCTTTTGATTAATACGGTTTACATGCTCACTGTTTTATGGTTTTACGTCTTAGACTCTTGTTCTCAAACAGGCGGTATCGGTAACGACGCGGAAGTGGCGCAGAAAACGGATCCGTGTCAGCGCTGCTTTCTTTCAAGCCACTCGATGCATTATCACTGACTGATTGCAGGCTTCAATAAACACCACGTTGCTTCACAATTTGAGACCTTTTTTTTTTTTTCTTAAGTGAGTGAAAATTGTGGGTGACCAAGATGGAAGCGTGTCTTGCTGCATGAATCTGGTGATGTGGCTGAGTGCAACTTTCTTTCCACCTTTCCTGTCTCGCTCTACCTCGTAAGACTCCCCCCCCTCCCCTCTTTCTTTCTGCAGGTGTGCGTTAGTAGTACTGCATCCTCTCTTTCTTTCACTCTCTCTTTCTCTCCTCGCTCCCGTCATTGCTTCAGTCACACGACAGAGGTGGGGAGACTCTTGGGGGCAAAACTCTCACCTCCGATGCTCTGCGGCCTCTCCTCTGACACAGCTTTCCTGAGGCTCAGGAGTCTGCCGTCTGCTCTGCTCCCTTTGGCCGACAGGGTCGATGGAAGGGCAGGCAGCCAGTCAGACTGGGGTCTCTGAATGGTGAGCACACCAACTACGCTGTGTCTCTGGTGCCTTAGCGAGAGCTGGCTCCTTTGGCCTGGATGCGTTTGTGTTTTGCAGGGTCAACAGCAGGAAACAAAAAGGTCACGGCATCGCAGTTCAAGGTGTGAGAAGGGAGGAGCAAGATGGAGATTCAGAGCGCAGTTCATCTTCACCACGGCAACCGGCTCGAGTGAGAATCGCATGCAGCCACAGTGCGCAGTGCACAGTCACCCTTCGCCGCGCGTGTCTCGAACGAGAGGGGTGCGCAGCGTCAGCCCGGAGTGCATTGTGGGTCCAGAAAGGGGGTGGCGCACAAGCATGCACAACCAACTCAGTGAAGGAGCTTTTTTTTTTTTTTTTTTTTTTTTTTTTTTTAAAAAAAAAAAAAAAAAGGTGGTTTTTTTTTTTTAAAAAAAAAAATTAAAAAAA